CATCCCCCCCTCCCTCCCTCCCTCCCTCACTCACTTCCTCAACATCCTTAATCCTCTCCTTCCCTCCTCCTTCTTATCCTAATCATCCTACCCCATTTTCATTTCATTATCCCTTTCTTATCCTGACCCACCTACCATACTCAACACCTCACTGACTTTCGATCACCCTCACCCTTCCCTCCTTCCTCACCCTATTCCTCCCCATATCTCATCCACACCACCTCTCACCCCACCACCCCCTCCCTCATCCCTCCAACACTCCATACCATATCCACAACATTCTACCCACTACCTCACCCTTTCCAACACCCCACCACCTCACCACCACCCCTCACCCCACTCACACCCCCACCCACCACCCCTCCAACACCTCCCCCTCACCCACCCCCCAACACGAGTCACCAACAGGGCCAGAGAGTCAGTCATTCGGACATCTTAGCCATTGTTTGTTAATTTGGGTCAGCCAGTGCGATAGAGCTTCCTTAATTATACAATTACGGGCGTCTGCTGAATTGAAAACAGCGTTTATTATTTCTACATACACAATCACAAAGGCAGAGCCGTCCTGGTCACTCATTACAGCCAGAGTTATGGTGGCACAGGCGTGAGAGGGATGCCGAGGCGCAGTGTGTGTGTTGGTCTCTTTTTCTCCCTTTTCTCCTCCTCCTCCTGCGTCGCCATTTCTTCTCCTCTCCCTCATCCCCCAGTTGTTCTTCTTCATCCTCCTCCCTCCTTAGCTCTCCCTTCCCTCCCCCTTTGTTCTTCATTTTCCTCCTCCTAGTTCTTCCTCCTTCCCTCCTTAGCTCTTCCCTTTTCCCTCCTCCCCTTAGCTCTTCCCTCCCTCCCCTTCTTCATTCTTCCTTTACCTTCTCCTCCTACTCCTCCTTAGCCTTTCCTCCTCCTCCTCTCTCCTCCACCTCCACCACTCCATATAAGTGCATGTGGTGATGGGGAGGAGGAAGATGTGGTAGCAACAGGATCGTTTGCCTCCATCCGCCCACAGTCCCTCCCTCACCCCGCCCACCGCCCACTGCCCACACCCCCTCCCCGCCCACACAATAGCTCCCACTGTTATCTTTCCCACCTCACCTCTATCTTACGTTCCTCGCTGCCTAATGACCAGGTACTGATCTTGCCGCGCAGGTGAATGTGAATGGAGAGAGAGAGAGAGAGAGAGAGAGAGAGAGAGAGAGAGAAGAGAGAGAGAGAGAGAGAGAGAGTCATACGTAATGCTTCGGGTTCACGAATCTGAATCTCGGGGTTCGTGGTTCAGGTGGAAAAACGAACGGAAATTAGTAGTTGACAGTACACGTGGATAAAAATAGATAAGGCGACAAAGACGGAAAAAAAGTGAGTAATTGCTTTCCCTGTCAATAAGTGTCTCAGGGTTTGATTTTCCAGCCTTGTACAATACCACTTGTCTCTGTCTACCCAGCAGCAGTAATATGAGGATCTAGGATGTTATCTAATGGATGCATTGTATTTCGGGAGTAATGGTTAGCCAGTGCAGTTAGGAGTGTGTCCGACATTGTTGGGTTGGGTTGGGGTAGGTGGTAGGTTAGGATAAAATATGTTTAGTTATGTTAAATTAGGGTAGGTGTAATTAGGTATAGTTAGGTTAGGTTAGGTTAGGTTAGGTTAGGCTTTATGAACTCCTTACTCGAACTGACCCTGCACTGGCAGCGTCTTTCTCCCCGCGCCTTCGACCTTTTCACAGTTAGGTCTCCTCAGTGCACTTGAAGCCTCCACACACACACACATGGGATTATCACTAACGCAGCTTATGACTGATTTATGGTGATTCGTTACATTTTTCTGGGGTAGAGGCAGCGGGTGAGGAGGGGGAGGAGGAAAGGAGAGAGAGAGAGAGGGGGGGAGGAGGAGTAACGGGAGGGAGGGTGGGAGGGAGGGAGGGAAGGAAGTAGAGAGAGAAGGAGTGGGGGAAGATATAGGTGTGCCTCATGTCATCATAAATTTCTGGTATAATGACTCACCTTGACTTAGGTAGCCCGGACACACTCGGCCTAATGACTGACAGGTAATTGCAAGTGTAATTACAAATGTATATTGTACCATCAGGTTCTTCCCTTGATGACTTTTGTATATATATATATATTCTGGTGTAATTATGAATATTTTCTATGCCAAGCGGATGTAGAGATACGTATGATACAGTATGTATACCCTGGCAGCAGCACTATGAATACACGGTTATTCTTTATATAAGTATTCATATACATACAAATTACCGTGGCCAGCATATATTAATTATACATTATACAGAGCCTTATATCAAACACGCGATATATTCCCGGACCTCAACATCAGTTCAAAAAACACATTCTTGCAGAGCCCGAGAAATACTGAAGCAATTTATGGGAATATTTCGTAATAATAGAACTACCCGACAAATTACCCATTCTAATATGTAAGGTAAGTTTGAGGTTAAGTTTTACTGTTATGGGGAAAGTCTAACTCAGTTCTTATTGTCTGTAAGTCTGAAGTTTTACGATAAGTCCTATCCGGTATTACCACAGCAATAAGTCTGATTTATTCTTAATGTGTCTTTTGTTAAATCCACTTTCTCGACAACAAGTCCAACCCTTTCCTTGCGTCTCTCATCACCAAGTCCACTACTACGACAACAAGTCCGACCCTCTCTCTTCCTATGGGGTGAGAGGTGCGGAACTCCGGACAGCATATGTTAAGGACGAGGGACTAATTATCATCATTATTACGAATGTCCGCTTAGTAATAGTGCATGGCAGATGTCCTTTTAACCTCCTGGGGCACCAATCACCAGGAAGGAGAGAGAGGGGAAGGGAGGGGGATCAGGAGGGAGAGAGAGGAGTGGAGAGAGAAGGGAGAGGAGGAAAGGAGGGAGAGGGAGGGAAAGAGAGGAGGAAGGAGGGAGAGGAGGAAGGAGGGAGAGAAGAGGAAAGGGAGAGGGGGAGGGTGGGGGAGAGGGCAGAGGGGGGCGTTCTAAAGGGAAAGTCTGTGGAGAATGAGGGAGACATTATAGAGAGAGAGGGAGAGAAAGAGAGAAGTGGGAAAGAGGGATGGGGGAATGGAGGAGGAAGAGAAGGAGGAAGACGAGAAGACAGTAGGATGTTGAGTAAAGACAACGAATCCCTGGGGGCTATTGGACAGAAATGGGCAAACAGGGGAGGGAGGAAGTAAGGTGATTAAGGCAGAGGTATCTAAACTTCAGGTGAAATACCTTACGTCGGCCTGACAATGAAATCCAAACTGAGGGGGGTGGGGGAATGATGGGTGAGGGGGTGTGGGGAGGAATGATGATGGGTGAGAATTGGGGAATGATGGGTGAGGGGTGGAGAATGATGGGTGAGGGGGTGGGAGGAATGATGGGTGGGGGGTGGGAGGAATGATGGGTGAGGGGTGGGGAATGATGGGTGAGGGGGTGGAGGAATGATGGGTGAGGGAGGGTGGGGGGCAAATGGGTGAGGTTGGGTGGGGGAAATGATGGGTGGGGGGTGGGGGGAATGATGGGTGAGGGGTGGGGGGGAATGATGGGTGAGGGGGGTGGGGGGTGGGGGGTCTATTAACATTTTGGAAGTTCTGTTTATGTTACAAATGACGTTTATGTTGTTTATCTTAAATAATTTATATATTTGCGTAATTCTTCTCAGGATTTGCATGAATTTATACTCAAATAGCAGAGTTACAGTTGTAGTGACGTTGTTGTGTACATCTGTTGTGTATTCTTTTGTATGTGTAGGATTGTTGCCTATAGCGCGTGTGTGTGTGTGTGTGTGTGTGTTTTGGAGTTAGTTCTTGTAAAAGTCCCCATTAATTATCCAACAGGATCTATCGTGGACTTGATGTGTTTCACCAGTTACCGCTGATAGATTACAAAGACATAAGTCGATAAAAATGTTTATATACAGTAACTCAAGAAAAAGAAGGAATCGCCGTACAAATGATAATGTAAATAAAAGGTCCTGCACTCTCGTTAGTTTCGACCGCTGTCACCCAAACTAAAACAGACAACTGTCCACTGGCCCACCACGTAACCTGAACGTATCTGACGAGTTATTAAACAACAGGAACACTTTGGTAAATGAAGAAAAAAATAACTGGAACGGTTTTCTGGTTGTATCCGCCTCAACTCAAACTCTGCTTTGGACACAAATAAAATTTTCTTGTCTTACTATGCCCCCTCAGGGGTGACTGTGACAATGGGGTAGGTGTGGTGTCACTGAAGAGTGTAGCAACAAGTATGATGCCAGTGAGAGTGAGGCAGCAATACTATAGTGCCAGTGAGGGTGGAGGCAGCAGGTATGGTGCCAATGTGGGAACAGATATAGTGGGCCAGCGAGAGGGCCCAGCAGGTGTGTAGTGGGCCAGTGAGAGGACAGCAGGTGTGTAGTGGGCCAGCGAGAGGACAGCAGGTGTGTAGTGGGCCAGCGAGAGGACAGCAGGTGTGTAGTGGGCCAGCGAGAGGACAGCAGGTGTGTAGTGGGCCAGTGAGAGGACAGCAGGTGTGTAGTGGGCCAGCGAGAGGACAGCAGGTGTGTAGTGGGCCAGCGAGAGGACAGCAATGTGTAGTGCGAGTGTCGGGGTAGCAGGTGTGTGGTTCTTGCAAGGGTGGTCAACAGGTGTCATGTTCTCATAGTCATCAAGAACACTCGGTTCCTCGTCACCACAGATAACAAGATAACAACACGAGGGTGAGACACTATTGCTGTTATCACCTCAGCTGTTTCCATCACACACTGTAATATAACTTCTTGCCAGTTTACATAGACAAACATATATACAATTAACTCTTTATAGCTCAGAAAGTTAATATATCCCATCAGTTGTTCTGTCAATAATATATAATGCTATAAGATTTTCGGGTGAGAACATTCGTGGATACACCAGTTTTATGAACGATATATTTTACTCAATGGGTTTTAATACTTGACAAGTCTTGTTACGCCGGCCACGTTATGACACACGGGAGTAGCGACACGTGTTTTAGTAAGCGCATAGGAAGGTTCACATCACAACCTATAAGTGCAGTATAAAACATAACCATAGAATATTAGTACGAGAGAAATATGTGTTTGTATTTTGTGTTCCTCGTCGCCATTACTACCATGACGTCGGCCTTACAGCTGCCACTGATCGAGGTTTTCACTGTAGCCAACAAAGACTATACTATCATTGACTTTATAGACAAGAGCTACCAGCCTGTTTTAATTCCCTGGTCCCTGAGGCGTCGTGATGTGGCCGCCCTCAAACCTTGGACGTTCCCGGCTCTTAACACCAGCTTGGAGGCAACCACCACGTTCTGTGTTGCCTCTGAGGGATCAAGAGCAGTGAAAGATTGTATAGGAAAAGGCGAGAGAGACGAAGAAGGTGAACGTGAAGAAGATAGCAAGAGATGTACAAGTGAGGAGGTGGATGCACAAGTGTCGCTGAGGAGGTTCGGAAAGGAGGGTGAGGGACGGTGGGGTCACGCCTTCACCACCATCACTAAAGACATCGGGTAAGATCTTCCTTCTGGGTGAATGAACTAAAGTGAGTTATATATGATTTATTTTCCCTTTGTTACCCTCGAGACTACTAGCATTGTCTCTCTCATCCCCTTAGGTCAGCGGTGGTGGTGCCAAGGTTCCTGAACGACGCTGACCTGACCTCTGTTGACCTTACGCAAACAGTGAGTGATATATATATATATATATATATATATATATATATATATATATATATATATATATATATATATATATATATATGTATATATATATATATATTTGTTATATTTCACACATAGCCTGTTCAACGAGCTTAAGCCGGATTTAGTAAAACGTTACTCTGACCACCTACGTGATACGAGTAGTCCCCATTAGAGGTTCACGGCGCCTTAAGCTCGTTGAACAGGCTTTGTGTGAAATATAACAAAGTCTAGGATTGCTTTTAGTATCCTGGTGGTCCAGCGGTTCACGTTCCCCGGTCAGTCATGGGCTCGTGGGAAGTGGGTTCGAATCCTGGCAGGTTGAGGTGTTGATTATATATATATGTATATATATATGTATATATTGCTATCGTTCATCGTTCATATATGGTGAATAGTGTACAGCATATATTGATTACTAGCAGGGTGTTAATTTTTTAGGGGGATCACCTGAAGATTAGGCACACCAGCTTATTTTACCTGGTGATTATACAGTACATCCTAACGCTGCCTGGACGTGGGGGTGGGGGGGGTAGGTTAACATCGGGGCGTTTAATCATCCGGTGAAGTAAGTTAGGGGTGTCTCTTCATAACAATATAATCGACAGGTAACTCCTTAAAACCACAAACACTTTAAAGACCACAAACACCGTAAAGACCACAAACACCTTAAAGACCACAAACACATTAAAGATCACAAACACCGTAAAGACCACAAACACCGTAAAGACCACAAACACCTTAAAGACCACAAACACATTAAAGACCACAAACACGTTAAGACCACAAACACCGTAAAGACCACAAACACAGTAAAGACCACAAACACCTTAAAGACCACAAACACATTACAGACCACAAACACATTAAAGACCACAAACACATTAAAAAACACAAACACATTAAAAACCAAACACCTTAAAGACCACAAACACATTAAAGACCACAAACACCGTAAAGACCACAAACACCTTAAAGACCACAAACATATTAAAGACCACAAACACCTTATAGACCACAAGCACATTAAAGACCACAAACAATCTTAAAAACCACAAACACCTAAAACTACAACCAATCTTTCCTTCACACCACAATGATCTCAACACATACTGTATATATCATGTCTTACATCGCCTCCCTACACACAGCACTGAACCACCTTATTACACAGGGCTTACACCACGTACGTCGGGGGTGGACGAGCCAGGTCTACGAGAAAGACACCACCACCAGCGCCTCCGTCATGTGTGTGGTGGAGGGTCGCCTCTCACTCACCCTCACGCCCTTCACACTAGCCTGGGATCAACTCAAGGTACAGGAACCCAGGCAAATATTTTTTATTATGTACTAACGGAATCAATCTTCATTTTTGATTAGTACAGCTATTTAACACAACAAATAATTGAATAAATAACAAACAAAAACAAAAACAAAAAATAATAATAATAATAATAATAATAATAATAATAATAATAATAATAATAATGCATAGTCCATATAAAAAATAAATTAATATAACCATAATTATAATCAAGCTTTAACCATGACCCTCTTGATGACGTCTGGTGGCCCCTCAGTGTGGCCCGGAGGTGTGTGAGCTGTCCGCCACGCCCACAGAGGAGGAGAAACTGAACTCGGAGATCCACGCCTTCCTCACACACGCCTCCGTCTTACCCCGCGGCTGTCTCTACATGCCCCCAGAATGGTTAGACAAATATTCTCATTTTTCATTTTGCGTCTTTAATTAAACGGAAAAATGATGTTGGTGAGATTTTAAATAAGTTAAGTTAAATGCAGGTAAGGTAAGGTTAGGCTAGGTTAGGTTAGGTATGATTAGGTTAGGTTAGGTTAGGTTAGGTTAGGTTAGGTTAGGTTAGGTTAGGTTAGGTTAGGTTAGGTATGATTAGGTTAGGTTAAGGTAAAAATTACATACGAGGAACAAGAGGTCCGGAAGGCAACTACAAAGACAATAGCCAACACTTGTATGAAACCTCAGCCCAGGGACGCCCAGCTGCCAAGACTCCCTCAACAGAGCTACACACACTGCCAACTCAATACGACTTACGTATACTGACAGTGAACCTGAGATCCCATAGAGTGAGAAGGTCGTGCGTTACCCCAGACCACCGAGTAATAACCAGAACGAACACACCTATTAGAACCTTTAATGAATCAGATAATTAAGTTAAAGTATTGTACAGTAATTAACATCCATGACAAAATAAACAACATCTTGATAAAAATAATATCTCAAAATAAATCAAAGTTGCTGGAGGTAATCTTACACACACAGACCCACTTGGTACGTTATCTTGCAGGCAGTGGTCCGCTGAAGCTCCTGTCGACACCACCTGCCTCTGGTTCACTTGGCAGGATGATCTTGTTATTCGAGAGGACGTCCTCAATCACCTCTTCTCTCCTGATGAAGATAGTGCCTCTACGGACGATGAGGTGGAAAAACCCTCAGTAGACAAACCTGGAGAACAGAAGAAGTAGGTTCCTCTTGCCGTGCTACCTAAGTCCTGACTCTGGGGAATATAAGGTAGTGAGTGACTCATGATCCCGGCTGATGGGGTTTTATTTACTCTTCATTTAACACAAGAGTAACTTTTATTTGAATTACATGTTAACATTCAACTTTTGCTACAAATTTGTTTATATTTTTTTTTTTTTTACTTACGAGATGCAATAAGGTATGACTGGACTTTTTACATACCTCAGTTATACAAAGATCTCGTGGCATTTTTCACAAATCTAAACGTCTACAAAAGACCTGTCACTTCTACACATCAATTCACGGTCATCTCTGGAAACGAGGGACCTGAAAGATAAAAAATTGGATGATATCAGTCAAGGAATCATTGAATGAATCAAGTTTACATGAAGAAAAATAATTATTTTGTGCATTATTATCGGTGTCTTTAATAACAGTATTAAACTTGTTAGGTAAATAAAACTTATGATTCTATCACTGTGTTATCCCTCCAGAAAGCAACGAGGAGCACCTGAGGGTCAGCCACGAAAGGCGTCCTCTACACTGTGGGAGGCACTGCCGAAGGGCCACAAGCGCCCCCTCCTGCTGTGGGGGGAAGAGAACCCCTTTTTTCACTTAATCCGTCGCTACCTACTGTCTGACCGTCACCTCCTCCTCCACACCTTCCTCGACCAGTTTCCCATTGTAGGTACACGAGTGATAGGTGTAAATGATCTGTTCTTTTTGTAATATAACAGGTATGGCTATTCACTGCTGGGCTCTTTTAGTGCACTGGTCTTTCGAGGTTTAAAGGAATGCCCCTTCCTTAGCGTGTTTTAAATAAATATTTACTATTTCCCCATACACGAGAGGGCCTAACTGTAATCCCTCATAATACGGGATCTTATTTTTCCCTCACAGGACAGGATCTTACTGCCTGATCTAGTGGACTGCCCTAGGGAGTGCCTGACCACCGCCACCACCATTTTCACTATCCTGGACACGGATGGTGATGAAGTACTGACGGCAAGGGACGCCACCTATCTGACGCAGGACACCTTCTCCTCCCTCACCCACCACCTGGATGACCTGGTGGACGAGCTGAAGGACCTCGCCAAGGATCAATGGAAGGATGTCAAGGAGGTAAGATTCTGAAGCTCTTCTGGACGGTGTCAAGTATAACCTTCTGTGTGGTGAAATGTGTACCAACGAGCAGTCGATTCAGATTAAACAGACCCCATCTCTGCGAAGCCCAAACCTAATCTAACCTAGACTTTACTTGCACATTAAGAGTGGGACCTATTAGAAATGGGTCCTTTGGGAATGGGGAAATATAACACTGAACCCTTGTAGAACTGAACCCATTAATCCAGATAATTAGGTTGGGACACACTTGGGCTGGAGTACATTACATTAGGACTGATGGAACACGCAAGACCTCACAGGAACAAAATCACAATCTAAATACATTAAGGATCATATAAAATAATCTAGAGGTATATGTAAGGCGAACAACAACAGTACATTACTCTTAAAAAAAATGGCGATACCTTGCAAAACAACCTTGGCTGGGACTACGTGTTACATAAAAATAAATAGACACGTAGGTAACTCACCAACATCCCTCCCTTATAAAAACAGTGAAAGTATAATAAAATATGGCCGCTTACTATGATTAACTCTCTTAAACTAACACAGACAACTGAAGATGCCAGACAAGAGTTCTTGAAGCGGGCTAAGGAACGGATGGTCGCTTCGGCTATTGCGTCAGTCAACCGCTGGAAATCTGGAGACCTGGAGGGCGTGGACGAGGAGTTACTGAAGGAGAATCTACCGGATATATACGCCCAGATCCTCACTGCCAGGGAAGAGACTACTGCCGCCCCTCCGCTTTCTTCAAGTGAGTCGTTGTCACTATGCTCGTACCCAGGTGAAGGCCGTTTACCTGTACTAACATCTCCGTTGAGTTACACCTTGAGACTGATCCTCGAGCATATCTTCTCAACCCGCAACATATAGATAATTATAATACAATTTGAAAATGACTCACAGCATTATTGTTAACTATAACCCAACCTAACCTAACCTACCCTAACCCAACCTAACCTAACCTAGTTTAATTTAGGCAAAAATTAATATAAACTGATATTTTTCCCACATGACAAAATAGTAAAGCAAAGTATATGTTCCCCCCAACACTCACCACCTGCACCACACACACTCACCAACACTCACCACCTGCACCACACACACTCCCTGCCTCACCTCCTACCACACGCTCATCAATACTCCACCACCTGCTACACACACTCACCAGACTCCTCCTACACCACACACTCATCAATACTCTACCTGCACCACACACTCAGCAAGACTCTCACCACCTGCACCACACACACACTCACCACCTGCACCACACACTCACATGACTCACACTCTACACCCACACACACCTCAATAAGACTCACCACCTGCCACACACTCACCACCTGCACCACACACACTCCCACCAAGACTCACTCTACACTGCTTTACTCATCAATACTCACCTGCACCACACACTCAGCAAAGACTCACCACCTGCCACACACTCACCACCTGCCACCACACTCACCATGACTCACCTCCTACACCACACACACTGTAAGACTCACCACCACCACACACTCACCTGCACCACACACACTCCCCAGACTCACTCCTACACCACACACTCTCATCAATACTCTACACCTGCACCACACACACTCAGCAAGATTTCTACCTGCACCACCACACACTCACCAAGACTCACCTCCTACACACCACACACACTCAGCAAGACTCACCACCTGCACCACACACACACTCAGCTCAACACCTGCACCACACTCACCACCTGCACCACACACTCACCACCTGCCCACCTCATCAATACTCACCACCTGCCACACACTCACAGATTCACCTCCTGCCCGAGCACACTCTGCCTGCACCACACACACACTCACCAAGACTCCTCCCTACACCCCACCTCCACCAGGCCTCACTCTACACCACCTCCATCAATCTCACCTCCTGCACCCACACACCTCACCAGACTCACCACCTGCACCATACACACTCACCAAAACTCACTTCCTGCACCATACACACACTCACCAACACTCACCTCCTACACCACACACTCATCAATACTCACCACCTGCACCACACACACTCACCAAGACTCACTCCTACACCACACACTCATCAATACTCACCACCTGCACCACACACACTCACCAAGACTCACCTCCTACACCACACACACTCAGCAAGACTCACCACCTGCACCACACACACTCATCAATACTCACCACCTGCACCACACATTCACCACCTGCACCACACACACTCATTGTCGTGATCCCAATATCCTTTATACCTGGGGAGTGAACCCTACCCCAAGTTGTCATCAAATAAAGGAACAAACAGGGAACACGGCAATAATTATCCCCACAAAAACCGACTCAACCGAATGTACTTGAATAAATAAGAATAAGTTGGAGTAAGTGAGTCACAAATGGGAAGATAATTAAATAATTCAATTTATGTTCTTAAAGGAGTACTGTCTAGCAACCATGGAATTTAAGGGAATAAGTGATTGTATATTAAAATAAGAGTGATGCCGGAAGGGTGAAAATATACCGTTAAAGGGTTAAATCAAATGAATACTACTTAATATTAACTATATTAAACACAGACATTACAATATATACACAGCAATCACAACCAACTGGTTATTTCCTACCAAATAGGAGATTCCTTAACACCAGGATCCCTTCCTAGGCCTAACTTAACGTTCCACTAATTACCAGATACCACTAGGGTATTGTAGATGACTGAACAAGGCACGTCTGTACTGGGCAAGTGTCGAGGCTAGAGTCAGTGTGGACACGTCCTGCCTATACCACGGTTTTCTAAAGAGAGAGAGTCTCTGGCCACACAGCATATGCGTGAGTAGCGTCTTAGCTCACGTGACCCAGGACAGTTGCCAAATAGTCTATAACTAATTAATACTACTCTTGGTTAGACTTAACAGAGTAACACAAATGATGCATATTAATGACATACATAGATATACAATTAACCTAAGTAACTAAGAACAACAATAAGATAATAGTAAAAATAAGAAGTTATTAATAGCTTGTGTGGAGTGGAGGCGTAAACAGATACCACACGACATGCGTGTTACAGGCACGTGACACTCATCAATACTCACCACCTGCACCACACTCTCACCACCTGCACCACACACACTCATCAATACTCACCACCTGCACCACACACTCATCAATACTCACCTCTCTCTCTCCAGCAGGTCGGGAGGAGTTGTAAGACGCTGCCCACCCATGATCTCCGCCTCTCTCCTCTGAACTCTCACGTCATCTGTAAGGTGTGTAGACGTTATACAGAACACCTCAATATACTGACTTAACTTTCCGATAAATAAGTTCCTAGAAGATTGATTATTGACATAATTGTTATCGACAAGTGCTGACAAGTGCTAAAACGTGGCTACAAGTGTTAAAAACTGCCGACAAGTGCTAGAAAGTGCCGATAAGTGCTAAGAAATGCTGGCAAGTGCTAAAAAGTGCTGACAAGTGACGACAAGTGTTGAAAAGTACCGACAAATGCTAAAAATTACCATTAAAAAGTACTGACAAAAAGCTGGTGGTGGCTGCTGTACCTTACGTTTAAAGAAACCACATCAAAACTCGTAAGATAGGATGAGTTTTTTCGTATAATATTTGGCTGTATAATTAATTCACAAGTGAAATCTAAATATATACTTGCAATTTCAGATCTTAAATGTACGATGATGAGAATGCCAGAGAAACGTACACAGTAAGTCCACTAACACACACACACACACACACACACACACACACACACACACACACACACACACACACACACACACACACACACACACACACACACACACACACACTACTACTACTACTATTACTACTACTACTAGTATTTACTACTTTGCAGTCATCTCTGCCTGTCCCCATCACCCACTCGTCCGTCGCCATAGGACTTTTGTGGGTATAGGGGATTTGATGACGATGAGAAGTATGATGAGCTGGATGATGGCTGCAGATGAGTTGATTTATGTGGTGAGGCAGGAGCGCAGGCTGCAACCGCATATCTTGGCTTTCCCTTTTCCTGATCCAGTGGTGCAAGTATTGCAACGACTAAGGAGAGGGAGATTTGCAATGGACTGTTGATATCCCAGTTTGTTGGGATTCGCCTTGGTAGCCTGTCCATCATGCATTGCCTTCATCCGCCGGTGTAGTCGTTGGGTTCCCATGTTGGTCCCCTCTTCCGTCGATACCGCCATTGAGGTCTTGTTGGAACTCAGTAAGCATGTCTGCCTGAAGCGGGGCTCCACCGCAGATTTGTCGTTTGGGGTTTATTCCCGTAGCCTTATACCTACCAAGGTTAATCTGCAAGGCAGTGGGGCAGTGGTTAGTAGGCGTGTCCACATGCTAGTGGGCTTATGCGCCGTCCCTCTGGGGCCCGCTGCAGCTCCGATATCCCCTGCTGGTCTAGCCTGGGCCCACGAGGCACCCGGTTACCGTGTGTTGCCACGAGGAGGCATAGCAGGAGTCTTGGTGGTGCAGAAGCTGTGTACTGGCAGGGGAGGACTTTTGCAAGTTGCTTCCCTGTTCGCCAGGAGGGTTAGCCAGCGGCGGCAGCTGAAAACGAGAGGAAGCTAGCAGTCCTTGCACCTTTACGCTACCATAAGCTGCCGCACTAGACGCATTACACTACACTGTGTACACACACACACACACACACACACACACACACACACACACACACACACACACACACATACACACACACACACATACACACACGAGAAAACATTCATTGAACATTTTACTACAAACATCACCCAACATTAGAATAAATAACTTCCTTGCCTAATATACTAAATTTTTCTTTAAAATATTTAAGATTATTTAAACTTTTATAATAAAAGTTTTTTTTATTATGTTTGTATATTATTCCACCTTTATTTAAATCGTCTGTACAAATGAGTGATATTTTTATTTGTGGTCCAGTGCTCCAGTGTTTCCTGAGAGGTTTTATCAAGACTTATTGTGTCATATAAAGGAGAACAGTCGGAATAGTAGTGAATCTCTTGACTTACAGAGTTCGGAGTTGGTTCAGTACTGTCTTGGAACCTGTGACTGACTGACTGAGTGCGTGTTGAGTATTGAATGAATGAGTGAGTATTGAGTGAATGATTGAGTAAATATTGAATGACTGACAAAGTGAGTAAGTACTGAATGGGAATGAGAATCCCGAAACTAATAATCCTTAAATATGCCCAGAAATTCGTGGCCCTATCATCTCTACCTGGGCCATGATGACCTGACCTGACCTGACACAACAAGAATCTAATATTATGTGAAATCATCAGTTTTTCATCAATAATTGGGGCCCAAGGCGAAACCTGACCACACTGCCTACTTAATAAATACCTGTACCTTCATGTTTATAGAAAGAGTCGAGCTTCATAGTTTCAAGTCTACACTTTGGTGGATAAATTCTCTGTGACATAAGGTGGGATTTTTTTTATGCATATTATGTAGTTTTGAGATGATGAAATGTTTATATAATGAATCTGAATTTTTGATATGGTGAAATGTTTATGTAATGAATCTGAAGTTTTGAGTTGATGAGATGTTTATATAATGAATCTTAAGTTTTGAGATGATGAAATAATTTATATAATGAATCTGAAGTTTTGAAATGATGAAACACTATATTATATGAGGATTCTCTGAAGCCTTTGAAGTAATGAAACACTTTATAATGAATGCCTGACGCTTCGAGATAATGAAACGCTTTATGGTATGTCTCTGAAACTTGGCATGGAAGAGGCACTATAAAATACACTGTCTATATTCAGTTATTTAATCAAGTGAGTCTTTGAAACTCAGGTTCATTTACGAGATGTGTTACATGTTGTGTGTGTGTGTGTGTGTGTGTGTGTGTGAGAGTGAGTGAGTGAGTGAGTGAGTGAGTGTGTGTGTGTGTGTGTGTGTGTGTGTGTGCGTGTGTGTGAGTGTTAATACAGAATCTCGGAAAGTAAGCGTGTTGTTACCTGGGTGTAGGATAATACCCCAGGTGTCTTGTATAAATACCTCTACAAGTGTAGCTCATACAACACTACAGTATGCAATACCTGTCACCAGGCGTTGACTCTTGCAAACAACAAACACCTCACCAGGCACCACAACAAACACCTCACCAGGCACCACAACAAACACCTCACCATCCACCATAACAAACACCTCACCAGGTACCACAACAAACACCTCACCAGGCACCACAACAACACCTCACCATCCACCACAACAAACACCTCACCAGGCACCACAACAAACACCTCACCAGGCACCACAACAAACCACCTCACCAGGCACAACAAACACCTCACCAGGCACCACAACAAACACCTCACCAGACACCACAACAAACACCTCACCAGGCACCACAACAAACACCTCACCATCCACCATAACAAACACCACCAGGCACCACAACAAACACCTCACCATCCACCATAACAAACACCACCAGGCACCACAAACACCTCACCAGGCACCCCACAAGGCACCCACCACAAGCACTCACCAGGCACCACAACAAACACCACCAGGCACCACAACAAACACCTCACCAGGCACCACAACAAACACCTCAGGCACCACAACAAACACCTCACCATCCACCATAACAAACACCTCACCAGGCACCACAACAAGCACCACCAGGCACCACAACAAACACCTCACCAGGCACCACAACAAACACCTCACCATCCACCATAACAAACACCTCACCAGGCACCACAACAAGCACCACCAGGCACCACAACAAACACCTCACCAGGTACCACAACAAACACCTCACCAGACACCACAACACACACCTCACCAGGTTTAATGACCACGGTCGTATACGCCAGTTAACGTAAAATCAGACGATTCATATTACGCTCAATTGCGCACAAAACAAGTAACTAAGCTTTTTTTGCGTCCCCCGTCTAGGGAGTTCGTTTTCTTATCACTTCAGGACGCCTGAGTCCTTCGTTTTCTCTCAATCATAGAGTGGACCCAAGACTTCGTTATTCCTTAGTAATGACACAGAATTTGAAATTGCAATTGTGATTGCATATGTTTAGGCAACTTAGTTATGTCTGATTACAGTTGGAACATTCAAGATCCATTGTGAGTGATGTTGAAAGCTTCAACTGTCTTTATTGTAAATATAACTTGTCAAGTAAGTGAGTGTCGAGTTTGTCAGTATGAGTGGCATATCCTTATATCGTCCTTGGGGATAGCCATGAGTTTCCAAGTGCTACTGAAGTTAGATTATTGTGATGCCCAAACATCAGAGAATCGGATGTTTGTAGTTTTGTTAGTGTCAATTGCCTATTTTAGAAAGTCATTAATCTCCTGGAAAGATTTTGTCAAACTCAAAATCTCCAAGACCCAACGGCTCTTCTCAGGAAGAATTCCTTGGCTGTGGTTTGTGGTTTCCTGTAAGTAGAGTTTTTAGTGCGTGTTCAACATCCATTTCACTTTTTCCTGACAGACTCAATCTCTGATTAGATTAAAAGCATAGATGTGGAGAATTAGCCTGACCCGTCACACTGACGTTCATAGCCGAGTGTACAGCGTCCGAGTTGAATATAATTTCTGTTGTTGGTGAAATTAGCCTTTCTGGTATGTATGCGTGGGCCGGAACTGCCCCAGGCTCACGTATATACGGATACACAAGGAAGAATCACACGTTCGTGAATCTTTCTCAACGCATCTCCAGGTATGTGAACTATTGTTTCCCGCCGCCATGTTAAGTCAGTTTAACTTAGTCGATTTTGTGAATATCAGTGTTCATGTTTTAACATAGTGAAATAATCATGTGCCAAATAATTCGAGTAAACTAAGTGTCGTCTGTATCGTTGCCAGACGTATATTTTGTATAGTTGAAGTTAGACATTTAGACGTTCGTGAATCTTTCTCAATGCATCTCCAGGCACTGTCTGTGTTGGCACCACTACCGATGTTCGGTAGCCGCCTATGGGCAAGATGGTTATGGAAGGATGCCTTAAATAAGGCAAAACTAGAATCGGAGGACAGGAACAGCCAGTGAAGATCTTGCTACAATACTGCGCTCCTGCCTCACCACATAAATCAACTCACGTGCAGCCATCATCAAACTCATCATACTTCTCATCATCATCAAAACCCCTACACCCGAAAAGTCCTATGGCGTCGGGCGAGTGGCGACGGGAACAGGCAGGGATGACTGCCGGGAGTCTCTAGTCACAACTCTTCACATGGCCGACATAGATAAGATGGTCGTTTATGCACTGGGAACTAGGCAGCAGTGCAATCTGGTCCTGTCTGTGCGACTGAGCAGCCCTTTCGAGGAGCCACTCTACTCACCCCACATGGGGAGAGGGCTAGAAAAGGTGCCCTAAGCATAGCCTGCCTAAAGAGCCAACCTGACTAGGCAACCGCACCTAGTAAGGTCATCCTTATGCGGTCGAAAACACAATCATAATCACAGATCAAAACAAAAACAAACTATACAACCTCTTAGGGACGCTATATGGAATGTCAGAACCCTTCTGGATACTGGCACAAATGAGCGTCCTGAAAGAACTGCCCTTGTGGCAAAAGAGCTGGCTAGGTATAACATCGATAGAGCAGCCATTTGTGAATCCCGGGTCCCAGACGAGAGTCGACTCACGCAATGGGGTCTGGCTATATCTTCTTCTAGAAGGGTAAGCCTGCTTCGGAGAGAAACCGCATTTATGGGGTTGGTTTTGCCATCCGCCAATGCATCCTACATAGGCTAACTAAAATGTCTGTTGGGGTCAACAAGCGCCTCATGAC